TATAGATCGAGACGGTTGGAAAGGATTGTGTGTGATAATTTTACGGTGAAGTGGGGTTCTCAAGTTTGTTTCACCTATAGTTAGGCTGCCACTTCGTTTGTGTTTGACGCCTATATCATCTGTTCCTATGTTGCCCTCTTTACACCTATAGGGCTATGAAACTCCTGTTTGCCAGTTGTCCCATCAAAAATATACAATTTATCGCTGGCTTATTGCACTCGCCAGAGCAGTGATCCGGAATCCGAATCTGCTCTTACTAGAATATCCACACGCACGATGGAATACGAACTCGGGACGAGGTGTTCTACTGGAAGCTGTCAAACTGGCGTCGACGGGTAAAACCGTGATTTTTACAAGTCGATATCCAAATCTGGTGATGGATGCTGATCAAATCCTAGTGCTGGACAAAGGTGTTGTGAGACAAGTGGGAAATCACTCGCAACTGGCGGAGGAGGAAGACGGACTCTATTCGGTCATGTTGCGTGTTTATGTAAGTACGTGATTCTGGGTCAGTCTTTTGAAAAGAGCGCCAGCTGTGTGCTTGGGTTGGGCAAATAATCTTGGCTCCCAGTGGAGTTTATTCGCGCATTTACTCTTCACAAGATGCACATTTTGAAGCGCTTCTGTGATCAACGGAGTTGTAATCTGCACGCGTTCCTTTGCGACTCTTAGTCAACACAAAATTTGAGCGTAATTTTCCTTTTATTTCGCGCTTTACCACAGTAGTCTCAAACAGCTGATTCATGAGCTTTATTCAATACCACTAATAGAAAATTATTGATGTTTGACGTCAATGTTATAAGTGATGATTGTCGTCAAATTCTGTGAATTCTAATAATTTTCAATAACTCAGAACCAGAATGGTCATCATAAACACTGGACACTGTATTGAGCAGTGAACTCCGCATAATACTAACTTGTTTTTGTAAAATCTTCTCCTTTAGCAATTGTTAAACACAAGCATGGGATTATGGTAAATCAATAGCACAGGTTTTTGGATTGTATTGGTTCTGAACTGTCAATATCAGCCGAGAGTCTCCTCGCACCTGGTTCAAATCCAATTCTCTTGGGAAAATTTCGAAACACCATTAGGCTTCTCCGATCAACAACTCAAACAATGTAACCAGCAGTACCAGAAACAAATCCACATCACATGGGATGTTTGTGCCAACCAGAATGACTGATCATCCGAATGGGTTTTTTTGTTTCTCAGTTGTTCCTACTCTTTTCCTATTGTCTTACTCAGAAATTGGAGATTGTAAGTGACATCATATAGGCACATCAATACCATCACGATGTATTTCAGAAAATGGATTAAAGCATGTTTTCGGTGCTTAGAAATGAATTATTTATCGGTGTTCATAGACCACGTTCAGTTTGGCATTGCTGTTGGTAGCATACGACGAGAATGTGACGATTCCATACATGGAATGGCGTTGCAATATACCACACAGTAACCCATATGTTGAAAGAGAGAGTAGGATCACTTTTAAAAGCTACCGTGAGAAGATTATCAAACACGCCATCACTAATTCTGTAGTTCTGCGTCGCCACACGCGATCGAAGTGGATTGCATGGATGTGTTCAGATCAGAAGGTACTGTTGGAATTGTTGAGTTGAGCTATAAGAACCAGACGGTTCCGGATTTTACAGGAAATCATAGATTCCTCTCACCCGGTAGCAATAATAATCGACCCCGATGAAGTACAGGATACCTGGGTAAAACCATATTGTTTTTCCGAACCAAGGCATCAGTAATTTGGACAGTTAATGGCCAATTATATCATAATGTGTACATATAGCATATCAGATGTAGCAACGCGATGCCATTTGTCGGAATTGAGCAGCAGCGGTAGTCATTGGCGTACGGTTAGTTACGTAAGGTACTTTGTTACCGGTTTCATCGTGCATCTAGCTCCACAATGAGTATATTGGCGGAGGGAGACGGGGAAATCAGGTTGAAGTATATCAAATTCAAAAAAATAGGAACCAAATAAAAGAAAAGAAAAAGAAAACGTGCGGTCCGGAATCCATTCCGCAGTCTTGACGCGGTCAGTAAGATCACAGTTCTTCAGTGACATGTGAGAACGTTAAAAAAGCAGTATGAATCGGGAGAATAACGTTGAAGTAACGAAATAACGTTTGGAGCTTGACCAAATGCCATATGGATAAGAACAATGCAAGTTCCATTAAGCAGTGCCTGAATGAAATGCAGGAATACTTCATCGACAACCGTCGGAGATCAACGCATTATAATGGCGCAATATATATATATACCCTGTTACATTGTTGTCGCATATGTGAAAACATGTTTTAGCCACGTGCTCGCATCCAGTTGTTTGTGAGCTCCACCTGGTAACTATAGTTATCGAATTGCTTAACCGGATTTTTCGAAAATAATCTCGAGGTGGTTTTCAGACAGAAATTCAATGGAAAGGCAACACTTTCAGTGAGTTTTAGACGGACCAATATCATCGTATTGCCGTTTGGAGATTGTGAAAATATCCCCCAACGGAGTGATCACGAGATCATAATATTTGCAAACGAGCTGGTTTTCGGTGCTACACCTATTGGCTAAATACAGCACAATTTATAATAGATTAGACATAGGCGGCGAGAAACGACATACATCCGCGGAGGAAGTCAGAATTTAGAGAGATAATGTAATTGTGATAAGTGGGAGAGTTGGCGTTGATGTGTGTGTTTGGGGGGTGGGGGGGGGGGNGGAACAGGGGCAGGCGGATGAGGATGATTGTGAAAGGGTGAGTGCGTGAATGAATGAGAGTTTATGAGTGGAGGTCACGTCACTAGATTGTAAGTGAATGGCCACTGTAAGACCAGAGTGCTTCCAAACTCTTCCTGAGTTCACAATGTGGAGTGTTTGTGTATGTATGTGTATGTGTGGAGACGACGGAATAGGTTTCCTCTGTCTTTGTTGATGTTACTTATGTCGAAGATGTCATATACATAGCCACAGGAAAGATTAAATTTTGAGACATCCTCTTCAAGTCTTTCCATCAGGTGACCAAGAAAAATATCCACAAATGGATATCTAGGTGCGTTCATCATCAAGCATAGTAACGTGAAACCACAAATAGAACAGCCAATAACTGTTCCCAAAATGAAAACTTTGTTAAAATTAGTAAACAAGGGCGATGACATGAGTGAACTAGTCAGCAAGTGGTTGAATTCTGTAGTCAAGCGGGTCCATTACGCAGTTGACCCAGTCATGGCCTTCATTACCATCCGTATAGCAACGACATCGGTGAAAGAACCATTGCCATCCTCTGTCAAATCAAATTGTATTTACCAGTTCAAGCATGAATGCCTGGCTATGTAGGCAGGACAAAGAGGCAGTTACGTCACCGAATAGCCGAACATATTCCGATGTGGCTTAAGGAAGCGATGGACCATAATTTTGTAAACGTTACGTCATCGAATGATCAGAAAAGACAGATCTTCGATAACACAACACTTATGTGAAAAAAACATTGTGTCACTCCAACCCATGCATTCCACGTTTTGCGTTTATCAATTCCCCTGCGCCTGTGGAACAAGTTATGAGGGTCAAACGAGGAAATGTCTATTTGATTTCATCCAGTGGCATCATTGTTGCCGGTTGAATAAGGGCTTTTCAAGGTCCGAGGCGACGGTAATTCTGAACTATTGGACTGATTGGAACTAATCATCCTTCACCTTCATGCACAATCCTCAGCTCTTTCAATCAACTCTACACACGGAACCACTGGATTCGAATTTCGCTCTGGTTAGAGCTCCCGTCCGAGGATTGAACTCCAAACCCATCGAATGGAAGGAGTGTGTTACCACTGTTTTGACTGATTCTAATTACAAAATCAAAGTGCTTGAGGCATTCCGTTCTCTCCATACGGTCAACGGAAGGTTATCTAAAGATGCCAAGTCCCAAATTTCGTCGACAGGTGAGAGACGACTGTCATTCGTCTCCACACATACACATACATACACAAACACTCCACATTGTGAACTCAGGAAGAGTTTGGAAGCACTCTGGTCTTACAGTGGCCATTCACTTACAATCTAGTGACGTGACCTCCACTCATAAACTCTCATTCATTCACGCACTCACCCTTTCACAATCATCCTCATCCGCCTGCCCCTGTTCCCCCCCCCCCCCCACCCCCCAAACACACACATCAACGCCAACTCTCCCACTTATCACAATTACATTATCTCTCTAAATTCTGACTTCCTCCGCGGATGTATGTCGTTTCTCGCCGCCTATGTCTAATCTATTATAAATTGTGCTGTATTTAGCCAATAGGTGTAGCACCGAAAACCAGCTCGTTTGCAAATATTATGATCTCGTGGTCCAGATTCATTTTCGAATCTGGAAAGCTCAGTCAAAACCGAACCACATGTAGGCGTAATCTGTTGAGTATCAACGGTGCGGTGTATTAACTCTCTAAACTATGTATACATGATATTCAATATCAAGGTGTTGTAAATGGTGGTTTAGATTTCCTTAGCATTATATCACCTTGGATATTAGAAACAGGCGAATAATATCTTCGTACTCATGTAGATACCCCGAATTTTGTGTTCTAAGTCAAATCAATTGCACGTGTTTTTGGGGCGTTTCTAATTTGTTTTATTTTGCATGATTAAGTCTGCCAAATCGGTGATTTTCACTTTTTCGTTCTGAGACTCATAGTGTGTTCGTGGACTATGATCTGTGCCGGATATGAAAATAAAACTAAAGTTGATCGATCAGATGTAATCTAAGGTCACATCTACTCTAATTATCTAAGCTGTTTCAACTGAGCTTAGACACGGAAGCTGTCGGTACTGGTTTGTGTTTAACTGCATATCCAGTTCATTGTAACAATTACGGACCAAATGCACTTGTTTTTGTGTTGTGACTAATGTTCACGCAGTGAATCGGTGCCTTCACATTTGTCACTCACCGTGGTTTCCTCCGAAACCGGAGCTCTAGTTATCTATTTAATGAATAATCAATGAAAACAATCAACCTAAGTTTTTTGGGTAAACATTATCTTCTACAGTACATATGAATTCATAAACCTCACCGTGTGTAATGCGAACTTGTTGTGCAGTTCATGGGTAAGGGTCTTAGGTCTCGATCCAAAGGTTTGTGACTCGAGTCCCGAAACACTGATGCGTTTCGGCGTTGCTGACCAGTAAGAAACAGTTGCCCAATATTCTTTGTCTTCAGTCAATAAAATGAGGTTGTAATATGCACCACATTCCTTCTTTATTAAGTTTCATCTAATACGGATTTTAATAGATTTCTGTGTAATAAAGATGAACATTTTGTTTGCTGTGATCAAATGATTTCCTTTAGACAATAACAGATTTGTTTATAGCAAGCATTGAATCAAAATTGGGGACCTACTTAAACGCTGTATCATTATTATTTTTCAAAATTAAGGAATTCGAAATAAATTTCATTCTGTTGCACATTTTTGGCATTCTTGTATTTTAGACAGAAGG